AAAAATCAATTAACTCATAGTCAAGGATTTCAATTTTCTTAAGTCACTTCAGATTTTCCTTATTTTTCTGACTACCAATATAAATTGCAAATATCCCATTTTGTATTATGTCTGTCACCAAAGCATGTTTAATTTATCTTCAATATTCTCAAGTTCCCTCGGGATCTTAGCCAGCTCTGTGTGTGGAGACTTCCTGTGTGTGTGGAGAGTGTATGGATAGGTACACCAGAACTTCTTTTCAGTAAAGATTTCCAGTTCCTTTCCAGAAGAAACAAGTTGAACAAAGTTCATTTCCTATTTTTGCTTCCAGTTTTCTCTCTTGTATACTGTATCTATTTTTTTCTCTTGTGTACTATATCTTAATAATAATCCTATTACAGCTAGTTAGAGGCATATTTCCAGAAAGCAGGAAATATCCACTCTGCCTTCATTTAAAGTTTTATATATTGAGGTACTCCTTTTGTCTTTTTCTGTGAGCTTCCAGTCTCTTAATACATTCACTAAGACATCTTTCACATGGGCAGTTCCATTTCCAAAATTGGTAGACTGAGAAACTAATTTTAAAATTTTATGAATCCTAAATATTCATACTCAGGGGAAATTCTGGAAGATAAAAGGAATTTTAGTTTAATGTTAGGTAAGTCTCTGTTTAATAGAAAAAAAAGCATGTGAGAATGCAATGGAGGAAACAGGGCATCCAATGCAGTTTTGACTTCACACCAAAATAACCCTACTCATGCCCATTTGAAGCCAAATTCTATATGTAGTAGCAAATTTTGCAAACCTTACCTCATTATAGAGGTTGACCTTCCTGAACTATTCCTACTGATTCATGATATATTTTTTGTATTTAGAATTATTCATTGTTCCTTTAGCTATGTATCTTCCTTTTCTTATTCTGTGCATGCAGTTTTATAATCTGAACATATAATAAAGTTATCTCCATAGCTATACCATATTATTCCACTATCAGCCTTCTTTTCTTCTCATTAAAATTAGAGATATGCATTGTTAAGAGTTTTATCTTTAGCACTTTTGCTCTTTTACTGAGCTTTCTTCTGAATTTTTCATGCCCAAATTTTCTGAAATCTTCCTCCTTAAAGTCTAGAATAATTGCAATAAATATCCCTTCTAAGTTTCTCCAAATTCTAAAATGACCTGAGCAGGTTTTCTATAAACTCCTGTCACTTGCACATTATGGGCAAAATGTTCCTTGCTGTCCCAAGTTAGGCCTAAAATATTTCTTACTAAAATAATTTCCCTTATGCTCCAGGGCATGAAAATGTCAGTAAGACCAGGTAAAAATTTGTCAGTTCTTCAGTTTATGTGAGATGGGCTTCCAGAACATGAGCAGATTGCTGAAGTTTCTTTGTCATGTCTATCTTTTGCATTGTGACGGTTTTGTGATTTTATGAGGCGCACATCGTCAACTGATTTTCTCTGGCTGGACAGAGAGCCATAAGGCTTTTGCACATCTGAGTTCCTTTTCGTATCCCTTCCTTTTATCTCACTTAAATCTACCTCCCAACCTCCATCAATACTTTAAGTATGCAGATTTCTCTATAAGCTGTATACTTTTCTCAGTGTGAAGTGATGTTTTACCTTTACTTCTGATTCATGTTTTTGAAGTATGATGACTATGTTAAAGGCCTATGATCTAAAATAGCACCCAGTGGGCCGGGGATTTAGCTCAGTCATTTTGCCGCCTGCTGCACAAGCGCAAGGACCTGTGTTCAATCCCAAGTACCAAAAATAAATAAATAAATACAATAAAATAGCATCCAATGCATAGCAGATAATCATTAAATATTTGGAAAGAAATATCAAATGAAGAGGATTGTGATTTTCATCTTTAGGAATTATCTTGATCTCTTTGTCTGCAGCTTATCACCGTGCTGAAGCTTGTCAGTCCTGATGAAGTTCTCTAACCATCCTTGAAGAAGTCACTCATCTGAGAGATGTGATGACTGAAGATTGAAAGTCCCTTTAGGAAATGTTGCATTTGTCTAGCCTTGAACTCATTATTTACCCAAACTTTCAAAGAGTAGAAAGATCATAGTCAGAGGATACGCAGGAAGCAGCCTTAGGATATGACAAGATCGCAAGGATGAGGGGTGTGTGTGTGTGTGTGTGTGTGTGTGTGTGTGTGTGTGTGTGTGATGGAAAGCAAGCAGGATAATACTACCAGATTTACTGGAAGACTAGAGAAGAAGACGCTCGAGAATGAAAAGAATAGGAACTCGTTTTACAACACCATATTGTACTTCAATTGTCTGAGAGACATGACAAAAATAATAAGATGTGTACATCTAAATACATCTAAATTTCTCCTCAAATGTTCTCAAAACCAATAATAGAATTTTTTTAATCAAAATGGAAAATCTAGGGCCAGTTTTTAAAATATATTACCATGAATGATAATCACAAAGAGTATTTGTGAGTTAATGATGAATAAACATTTTAACAAGAAGGCTTTTTCAGTTCTAAAATGTTTGACAATTTTAGGCTTTGGTTTTGTGAAAATGGACACACGGGTCATGGTGGCCCTCAAGGTACTGTTTTTTGGCCATTGAATTGAATGATGTTCTCCTTGCTACAGAAGAAACAGGGGAGGTATACAAATACCAAAATCAACCAAGCAACTGTAATTAGAGTTAAACTTGGAATAATTTCTGTGCATATTTAGAGAGTATGCCTAAGAGATCTGAATACAGTAGAATGAAAATCTATTTCTCTACAAAGATTACCTATAGTAGGCATTTTTCAAGAAATTATTAACTCAAATAAAATTTGCATAGTATTTTTCCCACATTATGTATGCTGTCTTTCTATATCACTTGGGTTTCAATAAAAATTTCATGTGTAAGGAACATTTTTAAGACTAAACAATTGGAAAAAACCTACTTGGCATGAGAATATGATATATTTTTTCAGAAACTGAAATTTATAGGAATGATCAGCATTTTCCTTAGATACTGCAAATCTCAGAGCTGAATATACTACTCAAGTTGAGTAAATTTACAGAATTTGAAGTTTATTTGCATTCTTGGTTTTCTCTTCTAATTTATATTTTCACAGGCATTTAAGTGTAACTTAATTATACATTTGATTTTTATGAGTCAATTCTACATCAAATTTTTTCTAAAATAAGACAGGTTAACAATGAAGAAAGGGAGTGGAAAATGAGAGAAAAAGTAAAGGTGAACACTATACTAGCAAGCTATGGATAATGTGACAATTCTGTTAATAAAATTCAGTTAATAAAACCAGTAGGTTTAATTACTATGAGGTAAAATATACTATTAGTATACTGAGACTACTACAGAAGTTCAAAATTTTAACTGCTTCCATTACTCTGCCTATCAAAATACCTAAGAATTAAAAATATCCATACAAAAACTAATAAAAAAGAAACTACTAGATCAAGATTTACCCATTTTGTAGCATATGTCAGAAAATTTCTTCCTTGTGAAGAATGAATTACAGGGGCTGGGGATTTAGCTCAGTGGTTCCACCACCTGCCTTGCAAGCCTAAGGACCCAAGTTCTATTCCCATTACCAAAAAAAAAAAAAAAAACAATGAATTACATCTGTGTGTGTGTACACATTTTACATACCAATGATCATCCATCAAACATTTTATTTCCTTCCACATTTTAGCTTTTGTGAATAATGCAGCTGTGATTATGCTTGTACAAATACTTCTTTGAGGCTTTGTTTTAAATTATTTTGGGTATATATACAAAAGTAATTTTCTTGGATTATATGGAAATACTATTTTTAACTTTTTGAGGAGCCACCATACTTTTATGCACAGCAACTGTACCATTTTTTAAGTTCCCACCAACAGGGCACAGTGATTCCAATGACATTGTGCTAAGTGAAATAAACCTGTCACAAAAGACAAATATTCCATAATTCCAGTCAAATGAACCACAGAATAGTTAAAAATCACAGAAGTGGTAAACAAAATGATAGTTGCCAAGGGCTGGCAGGGGGAGTAGGATAGGGAATTATTGTTTAATGAATACAAAGTTGCAGTTTTGCAATATGAAAAAGTTATGGAAGCAGATCGTGATGATGGTTGTAGAATAGTATAAATATACTTATGCAACTGCACTGTACACTTATAAATTATTAATTTATATTCATTTTGCCACAATAAAACTTGGAAAAATATGTGCGCTATTTGCACTGATAATATATGTTTCATAAATCAACCCACAAAATTAATTAATACAATAACATGAAAATAATATTCTAGAACAATTAAATATAAATAATCAAATGCACTAGTAGTCTATTAGCTTTTCTCTGCAGCAAGAAGTTAAAAAACTTCTGTATACTAAAGGAATAAATTTACATCAGAAGTTAACCTTAGGTTGCTTATTGCAAGAAAATGCTAAAAAAGGAACTTTTACTCCAATTAAAAAGACAAGTTGGTGAAAAGAAAATGATCATAAATCCAAACATTACCCCATAGATCCACCAATAAATCTAGAGCAGGGCAGCTAAAATATCCTTCTAGTTAGTTATCTCTAGTTAGTATATGTAGATACCTATGATAAGCATATCTTACATGACTGTTAGAGACAAGAATAGTAGCCAGAGGTGAAAATGCAGTTGTTTATAAATTTTCAGTATATGGGAGCTACACTGTAATTAAAATATTCTTCACCTTAATTTTCTAAAACAATAAAACCAAACTATTAACTTCAATATTTTACTAGGAAAACTGTAACTTATCATTAGTCATAAGTAAACATGTGCCTTCAGTTACATAAGCAAAAATTCTCAGATCTTCTTTACCCGTAAAACTTGTCACTATCTGTAAATGAAGGCGCCCTTAGTCATATAAACAAAAATACTCTGATCTTTTTATTTGTTAAACAGAAATAATTTTATTTTATATAAACAAAATGATATATACCAATTAGTACTATAATTAGCAATATCAATGTAACAATTATGTTTAAGCCATTGGTTATTTCCTATTTTAGATCTCATTGCTACAGATCATCAGAGAACAAACTGGAAAGCAAACCAATTTTGTTGTCACTGTCCTATCCAGGTACTTTTCTATGTGCCTTACATTTATTTTCTCAGTTTTACGGAGTATTTAGTACTGAAATTCTGTCATGATGTGTTAGCAAATATCATCACAGAGCAAAAAGAAACATAATTAACCTCTAAAAAATTGTAAAAATACCTACGTAAATGACATGATTAAATATGCTGACGCTAACCCTATCATTTTATTTTTCCATTCTTAAAAAAATCTCCTTTATTAAATAGCAGAATTCTATCTCTTGCTACCAAATCATACTAAGAGACAATTATATGAGAGAGATGAAAATATGTAGAAAAAAAACATGGAAAATAATACCTCAAATATTTATAAACAATTTTTAATTTTGAATCCTGCATATCTGTTTGCTATGGCAAAGTCCCACTGACTGGATGGCTTAAACAACAGAAGTGTATTTTCTTACAGTGCTGAAGTTAGCAATCTGGTATGAAGATGCAGGGGTTAGCGTCTCCAGTCCCCTCTCTCGCCTGTATATAGCCCTCTTCTCCTTGTATCCTCATTTCCCTCTGTATTTCACAATGCATAAGGGAACAAATCACTAAAATTGAGCCTTGTTTAAAGGAAAAATGCTTTCATCCTTCACATTTTTATATCCTGTGTGAAACATTAAAATTTTATTTTATTGCTTACCGTGGATAAGGTAGACTCATCCCAGAATATCTTCCAGTCTTCTCACTGCACATTTTGGCCTGATTGGTAGCAAGAGACCCTTAAAACAAGATGGATTGAAATCAGGGTGAGTTACACTGCATACATCAAAAGTTAGAGGCTTACATTAAAACTTTCACCCCCAGTAGCTCTCCCTCAGTCCCTTACTTTCATTATGTTATGTTTTTAGCTCCAGAATTTTCTTAATGTGTTAAATTTTAGAAAGGGTCAGATACTAACAGTTTGTCATCCATTTTGCCTTAATGTATCTGTTCATCTGTGTTTGTATTAAACTACAGTTGCCCACATCCTGTATAATGTGAAGAATTTATGTCTACTTTATATTTCTCTTAACCATTCATGCTGAATTATCAGGGACTGAAAATGCAAATCTTCAGAATCGTTTTTCACATTTTCAATCTGTATACTACATATAATATTACTAATTTATTTTCTTTAAAACAAACTTACTTTTTTGTTTAAACATAATTCTGAAAATGGTTAGTGAATAAAGCATATAGAAAACAATATTATTAAATATGAGCTTGATGCCTTTACCTAAGACTGACTCTGAAGCCTACTTTTAATGTGTTAAAAAAATCATTAAGTATTAGAGAACTCTAAAAGGCATACTAACAACTCTATGAGACTTTTATTCAACTTAATTAAAATGACCAAAGAAATTGGTAGTTTTTATTTGATGTTATTGGTTGTGGGACAAAGACGATACTTTCAGATATGATTCCATTTATATAAATGTATAACTTGTATGGTTTATTAAACCCCTACATTTTTAAGCAATCTAAGACATTCTAGAATCAGACAAATCTCCTATGAATTTCACTCTGAGACCTCAAAAGCCTATGTAAATTCACATACATGCCCCAAAGTTTCACATATATAATCAGTGTAAATTTGTACCAGTACACTTGTTGTAGGTGTAAAATAAAACATGTTATATAAAGTAAAAGTTGAACAAAAGTAGAGATTAACTTGTATACGTGTAGATTTGCCAAGAAAGTTCTTTTAGAGATCTCCTGAACCCCAAAACTTTTGATGCTTGAATATTTAAGAGAAGATAGCAGTGCAAAGGAAGGAAGCATGTTTTAGTAATAGGTATTTCTCATTCCAAATTTCCACACAGGGAATATGCTTTATAAAACTCAATGCCCACTGAGAATTTCCAGGTTCATGATTATGATGTGTGAAACATTTAACAACAAGCTGTCCAAGGAAGGAAATGCCAGGGTTTGTAGCATTTAGTTGCTGTTGTGTAAACATTCCTGCTAGGTCTCTTTAAAGCTGCCAACATGATATCATAGAGCCTGGAAGGGACACAGGAACACAAACAACCCACAATTGATTCTTAGAGCTGGTCGGTTCTATCACACTACTGTGCTAAATCAAATCTAAGCCCTGATAGTAAATGCAAATTTTGTTTAGAACAATTATCCCATCCTTACTCCTCCTCCCCTCCTCACTCTTCCTCTTCTCTCTTTTCCAGTTCTTGAGTCTCCAACTCCCACAACCATAACCACGATGTCGCTCAGTGTCTGTTGGAGACTTTTCTCACCACACCAAGAATAAGCTGCAAATTTCACCACAGGGCAAACAAGTTTCTCTGCTCCTTCAACACCAAATCTACACTTGTGGGTTTCAATAGGCAAGTCAATGCAACAACAAATTAAAAATTTCAGTAAGGAACTAGCCTGTAATAAACATTGGTGAAATGAATATCTAACCTTTACAAATATATTAAATTGCTGACAGAATATGATTGGTAAAGTTCCCTGTGATAATTTGATTATCTCCACAAAGAAAAATATAATAATTTTGTTAAGAAAGCTAGAGAACAAAGTTTGGTTTTGCTTCCAAGAGGGAACACATTGTCAGAAAATTATCAAATATTTTTTGTGGTCTAAAACAACATGTATTCTATTGTTTAATATTTGACTATTTTTGAAGTGAGACAAATTCCTTTTGTGAACCATGTCTCAAAAATTAAAATCTAAATGAAATTTCTTTGCAGCTCTAACTAAATGACGGATATATCTTAAGCACTTTAGGAGAAGAAATCTATCTTTCTTGTCTTCATTTGCTCAACTCTTCACAAGTAACACTCTATAGTCTTCAGGTCTATTGCCAGCATAATGGATTAGTCAGGACACTTCTATTTTTAAAAGAAGGTCCTAAACCAGCCTACGTTCACCAAGATGAGTCTTATTTGACATCATTCTCTGTATAAGTGAAACTACAGCTTTTTGGGGTAGTGCTCCAAAGTATGTAAGTTTGCCTGGCAGTGTGGCAGTGTGGCATACGTCATATACCATTTCAAAGCTTTTCTAATTTGAAAATAGCTTTCACACTTTTTATTCAAATTTTCCTCTTAGTCACAAAATGAAATAAGAGAATGGAGATGGGTCATTGTATATTTATTACCATTACAAAGGGAAAATAATCCTACTGTTATAAATAAATGCTAAACTCCCAAAGGCAATGATTGATTTGTCATCTTTGTCTCTCTAGCTACTGCTAGGAAGAGACATCAATGTCAGAAAAGTTAATTGGGTAAAAATTAGAATTTCAAACATTTGTCTAGGGATGTAGAGTTCACAGGTATTGAGTCATTGTCCACTGAAAGGAGTTACCTAAGTTCAGTATTAGCCTTCTCATTTTGCACATAACAGAAGCTTTATCAATGGAAATAAATACATAAATTATTTTAACCTGGAATCTCTGGTTATCCTGAGCTAAAGGGTCTTAATTAGCCAAGGCTAAAAGTAGGGTGAAACAAGATAGGTATCTAAGGTTCAAAAGTTAAGGAGGCACTTGCTCTCAGGATCTTACAGGGCATGGCCCTGGTTCTGGGCCTGTAATTAAGTCAGATTAGCAGGAAAATTCAAATGTATTGGCTCTAACCTTCAACACCTGTCAATGATGGCTGCAATTTCATGTAAATTGTTTCTCAAATATTTCTGTTAGTTTCAGGAGATGTAAGTGGTCAAGAATAAACTCATTGTGCAGGAGCTGTCTGTTAAAATTGCACTGTGCTTTGTGATTCCCATGGGGAACAGCATTTTATTCACAGTGTTTACAAGCTTTGCTGCTTGGGTTTCAAGTCTTACTGAGGTTTTAATGAGACTACTTTTATACTCATCATTCACAACTCTCCAGATAGCCTCTGGGCTTAAATATGAATTAAAGCAGTCAGGGCAGGAAAAAATTACCAGGGATAGATTCTTTGCTCATTAGAATGACCCACCGTCAGATACCCCAGAAGTAGATTCTTCAGTCAAACTTATTCTGGATTTGTCATTTGTGATAAATTCTCCTGTTCACTTCCATCTGTCCATCCAACTATCCATCTTTCCAGTAACCCATTGATTCCACCAGCACTAAAAAACTTCTATGAACAGAGTGCAATAACAGGCAAGGGGACTCAGTGCTGGACAAAGACTTTATATGGTTTTCCTAGGAGATCATTAAGTTTCCACACCCTAATCTATCAACTGTTCAGACCTACAAAAATGTTCATATCCAGTTTAGGATTCTAGCTTTATTTCTGCAAATGTTAAAGAAAACAATTATGTAAAAATCATGACAGCAGTCCAAGAGTCTTAATTTTGTAGGATTATCTCATAATGACATCCAAGAAAATGTTTATTGTTTTAATGATTTTAAATCAACTGAAGATTGAGGAATAGATTGAAGAAATTTTTTCCTTTGGAGAAATTAACTATATGGAAAATATCTTTTTAGCTAGTGGAATATCACACAAGAAAATATTTTCATTCTTACAATACCACTGGGCAAATGCTTCAAAGCATACAAAATTATGTAACTGAACTCTTAGCAAAGAAGAGGGGCGAAAAGTGGCATTTGCAGTCATCTTAAAGTGAAATTGGGTTACATTGACTCTAAGAAACAAACAAAATAATTAAAAGTTGTAACCCCAAACAGAAAGTAAAACCAATGCCATCTCTTCTATGTCATTCTTAAGGCTTATTAGAGGTTACTTGAAGCTAAATATAGTTCTCAGATAATTTTCTTTCTGCAAAGTGATCTTAAATACTATCCACCTAATGCCACTTACAGGAATGTTGGGAAACTTAGAAAAAAATTAACTTCCCAGGTTCTTCAGCTTTATTATTATATAGAGATAGTTGTTTTTCTTTATTTAAAAGACAGGGCCTATATAACTAAATTTTCAGTTTAAAAATATAATTTTGATCTTGCTTCTGAAAAAGAAATGCTGCCTTTAGTACAGGTTGAAGACCCTCTTCAAATAATCTTAAACTAGACCTGCTTCCTCTGAGAATTGCTTTTTTCACTCTCTTTTACACTTCCATCTTCAGTTTTTTACTTTACTAGTTCATAGATACAGGCCCGTAGGAATTGCTCAGGATATTCTGTGTACTCAGAAAATTGTGAGGGAATTGTCTGGTCACTGTCTGATAGCTTCTGCCTACTTGCTCATAACTCATGACTGAAATGAATGGATCTTTCTGGGGTTTAATTATGGTTATTCCTCCAAAGTTCCACACAACTCTCCCTTGTGGTTGCCTCTTGTAATAACCACTATACTGGAGAATCCAGCAGCAATATCTGCAACACTTCCCTCACCCTCCTTGCTTCCACAGGTTTGCTGGGATCATGTGGAAACATTCAGTTCTTCCCTATGACTCTGAGGGCACAGGAAACCAGCAGAGATGCCAGAGCTATTTCTGACTGTGACACTTCAGTCACCCCTCTCCATGTACCCTCTGTATCCTCTGATCCTCTGATCCTCAAAGCCTGGGGAACTCTCAGACATAGGGATAGGAAACAGAGCACAAGCTCCCCTGACTCCAAGATCACTAGAGCTCTGTTGCCCCCTATGCCTTCTCTACCCTGTGTGGCTTAGCCAGGAAAGCTAGCCCCTTAGCAGAAATCCTTCTTCATTTGCTTTCTGACTCAGATCTTTTTCTAGGGGAAGAGGGTAAATGGAATTTTTATGTATGAAACCTTTATTTAGGCCTTTTGAACTTAAAAGTTAAAAATGTTAGATGTTTTCTCTCTGGTTCGCCCTTCCTTGGGGGTAATGAATCTTTAAGGGTAAAAGTTCCAACGGGGTATGATCATCAGACAAAATAAGAATTATAGACACAATAATTCGGTAAATACTTTAAAATATTTCAATTCCGACACACAATCCTTACATCCATAACAAAAAAGTCCCAAACAATAGTACCTTACAAATAGTAAGATAGTTTCATTCCTTTGTCATGTAAAATAAATCCAGGTATGTACCATTTAGGACTGGAATGGTGGCTTCCTAAGTGTCAGGAGCCCAGTCTTTCTAGTTTCTCCAATACCATGGGTCATTTCAAGCTCTAAGATAAAGGCTCCAGAGCCAACTAGCAACAGGAAGGAGACGGGAAAAAGAAAACATGAAATTTGCTTTCACTCTGATTTACTGGAAGAAACTTAGTCACCAAGTCACACGTAACTGCCAGCTATGATCTTTCTGTCCCAGATTTCACAAGCACAAATCAAAAACTGATCCAAGATACCACACAGCTGTGTGAAGCACACATCAATCTCTTTGAGCAGTCCTGATGAGAATTTCTCAGTAGATCTGAGGAAATGCGTCAAAGAACTCCTCCCTTCCCCTTAGGTGGGAGACAAGACTGAGATTGTACATTTTTTTCAGATAAAACCCTTTGAATCTCCAGCCACCTCTTTTAAAGCCTTGATAGAGATGACTCATTCAGCAGGTTCACAGATTTCTTCTCTGAAAATTCAGCTTGTTGATGTGACACATAGTACATTATAATTTGAAGTTCAGTCAAATCTTCCAACTTAACATCCTATTACTATAGTATAAAAGGAAAGCTTTTTGTTTCATGTGTGCCACCATCTTAACAAATCTTTTTAGATTGAACATTTTAGTCAAATTTCCTGATTTTCTTAAATATTCAAGATCACTGAAAATAAAATTTTTTCTGCTATTTTTATCCAACTCAATGTTTTATTCCATTACCTAGCACTAGGCAATACTGAATAATTACAGTGACCATTAGACTCTTTGCCTTCTTCTTAATTTGAGTGAGAATATCTTTAGTACTTTACCCTATATATTTGCTGTTGGTTCCTGATATGTACTGTTAAGGGTATATAAGACTAATAGGACCATATTATCACTCCTTTTCCCATTAAATAAATTAGCATTCCTAATGCTGAATCCTCTTTATGCAGCTGGTAATATAGAAAGTCTGCTTTTAAAAATATGTAACAATTTGTTCCTTTCTTCAAAATCTCTATACTACCCACTCTTCTACCTGATGTTCTACATCAAATTTCTTTCTTAGCTTTTCCCTCTTCTAATTTTTCAAACATAAATTTTCAAACATTTTTATCTGTGTCACTGGATTTATTGAACTCTTTAAAACATGAACTCTCATAAATTTTTGCAATCTCCCAAACTGTTGTAATGCCTAGCATATAGCAGATGTTCAGTAAACACAATAAGGACTTATAGGACATTATTTTTTGAACTTAACAATGCTAAATATATGTTAGATGTGACTACAATACTTAAATATATTTATTATCATGCCACAAATTTCCTTAAAGTTTGAAAATATTAACCTAACTATGGCTCATCCTATACTTAGTACAGCACCTTTAATATTG